GAGAGAGAGAGAAGGGGGTGGGGGTTGACGTGAGCATTACAGTTTTTACCCAATGTGTTCTGTTTACCCCTGCATGTCTGAGGGCGCCATAGATAACCCCACAAACGTTCTTTAACAATTGTGTTTTAAAATGGTAAAGATTCAAATATAATTGTATTGTCGTGTACTTACCAGCTATCAATTGCAGCGTGAAATATTGAAGGAAAAAATCATGACCTGTAGGTTTCATTAGTTGTACATAAATTGTGGAAGACGGCGAGAAAGCAGGAGAGAGAGAGAGAGAGAGAGAGAGAGAGAGAGAGAGAGAGAGAGAGAGAGAGAGAGAGAGAGAGAGAGAGAGAGAGAGAGAGAGAGAAAGAGTAAGAGTGAAGGGGGGGGTAGAAGGGTTAGAAATGCGAGGGGGAGGGGGTAATTTATGTTTACTAGGCACCTTTGAGATTGTGTCTGCGTTCTGAATATGAAACGTAGACTGATTCCATACCATCACCGTGCGCTACAAACGATGAACTTCTTGAATGAGGCTGGCATGCTGTCCAGATGAAAGTCCTGGCTGATTGAATTTCAAGTACGTAATCTATATGTGGAATGAATTTGATTATTCGAGGAATTGCTTGGATCAGACATATTGTTCGAAGGCTTTTTCATTTTCCATCGGTTCCCCAAACTGTGGTAGACTTTGACGTAAGGAATTACTCGAAGCCTCACACTGTTGACTGTGGACTTTTTTTTCATGACCTAGGAGTCATGTCCACGACATCGAGAAAGGGTGGTCTGTCAATAAGTAAATCGCAGCAAGTCGAGTTTCAAATTGCCTGTGGCTTCTGTATTTTTGAGTGAGAGATTACTGCGGCAAATGGTAACAGATTCTTTTGACAAGTGGTTTAATATTCAGCATTTTATTTTGTTCATGTTGACTTTGTCTAGAATTTAATTTCACACCCTCGCAGACATTTTAAGAACATACGTCCTAGTAGTGAAGAAAATGAAAATGGTTTGAAGGCAGAAGAGAGTCCCTGGAAAGCAACGAGCGATATATGGATAGAGGATTGGGGAGGTATAGAAGTAGATTTACAGTTAGTATCACAGCATTGTTATAGGGCCTAATATTATTCATTTAATTAATAGCACCTTGTACCTGTTACGTAAATATGATTAATGGCACTAAACATATACAAAAGATCAACTAATCCATTGTGCTAGTATTCTATAGAGCTAAACATTATTATAAGGATGAGATACTTACTGTATAAGTACTTTTGCACCCCCCCCCCCTGTACATTTCCAACCGACACACAATCAGGGTGCACAAGTCCCCTGCTGCTATGATACTATTTAAAATACGCTTCAGACTTTTCAGGCAGTATGCAATGCTACCTTCAGGTGGCATGTTTGTCACCGATAGACAACATGAAAAACAAAACTCAGACACGAACAGGGAGATCTAAGATATTAACTGTATGTATACTTTTTGGAGTTTGTTATACAGTGAAATACTTCGTAACAGAGTAATAATATTATAATCATTTTGAAATGAGATAAACCTTGGAAAAGTGTTGGTTCATACATCTGACTCGATCGGATTCGATTCTAAAAGGATGTATTGTCAACCGCATGTTCCATGTACACGTTTAAGAGAAATGCTAAGCCCTCTACTCGTTTTGTTCTGAAACGGTGATAACTTCAGAACCAATGCTTCTTGAAATCAACTATGTTGTGCTTCAAAGACGTGAAATGTGATTATAACTCAAACATTGACTCACCTTCTCATTTTACCATCAGAGAGAACAATGTAGACGACCATGACGTTACCCGTAATGCCCACGGAGCCGACAAGGAAAAAAAGTGAGGAAAACGTCACAATATAAGCTGTAGTCATGGCCGAGTCGTGGTTGCCACCTCTGCCATCCCCTCTAACTTTGGACATGGGGCTCACAGCCGGAGAGAGTGTACCCGCCAAAACACTGAGAGTCACGAGGTCTGACAGGTTTCCTTCATCGGAGCGGTGAAAAGGAAAACCCAGATTACTGTTGTAGGATCCGCCATCTTGTCGACTAACCAGAAAGTCGTCCGGAACACGGCCGGAAGCAATGTCGTAGGTTATCACTGTATTGGTCATGGTTTGCGTGTCGTTTGAAGCGTTTTGACGACCCCGTAAGGGAGTAGAGTTTTGGAGAGACCATAGCGAGTTTGAATGTTGAGGTAGCCGAGGAATATTTAAAGTAGACGAGAGGTATGAAATGCTGGGTATGGATGATACAGTTGCTGTGCTGGCTGTTGTTACGAGGTCAACCATAGTGGCCAGCGCAAGAAGGCGTGGCCTGGGATAGTGTTCTAATCACAAGTCGGTTAGTTCAATGACAGCAGTCTGTGTCAGAAAACTGCAGACAAAACTCCTATGCTCTCCAAAGATGTCTTGGTTTACGGATGCTCTTTTGTCTTCTCTGGCTGTGCTGCTAATACATTTGGAGACCTGTGGATAACCATAAATGAAATTATTAGCATGATAACAAAATATACTTCTAAAAGAAGAAATAATCGACTGCCCGTTCAAGAATACTCTGCTCCACTGAAAAGGCGTCTTAAAATTAGCCTAAATCATAAGACATCAGCCACTAAATGAAAAAGAACATCTTAAAAGGGAAATGACAATCTTCTAAAAAAGAATTCAATCACAAACTAAACAAGAAACGAAGCAATACATGAGTAAGGAAAAAAAAGAATCGTGACAATACGAGAACCTATAAATTACCCAAAAATTTGTATCATTAATACCCGATACTAACCGTGCATGTCTATGATTTACAACGATACAAAAAAAGTCCACTAACACAAATGCCGCTTGAGAGAGACCAATCTTTGTTGGGTTTTGTTGTTGTTGTTTTGTTTTAGTAGAGGTTATACGGCGCTTGCAACCGCATAAGGTCTAGCTTCAACAGCACAAAGTCTGCTTCGACTATCAAGACACCCCGGAAACAGCGGGTCACAAGAGTATGACAAACATGCAAAAGAATTAGAGGAGATATGACGATAGTAAGGATTAGGAAAGAAAAAGCAGCAGTTCCCTGTTGCAGTTCAAGCACAGTTGTAACTCATAACATCGATGAATCAGCCCATTTACAATTTACTATTCTACTGTGCAAAAGAACAGGTTAGAGTCCCCCCTTTGGGAATGACTTAAAGACACTTCAGTCAGTAGCACCACCCCGGAGGTGGGGAGCGGGGGAAGACCAATCTTTTATTTGACGGATAGACTGCGTTTCTTTTTAACAAGTATTATATTATGAGTGCTCGTGAGTTGTGGCTTATGCTAACGGACTGCTGTACGCAGTTGACAAGAAACAATATCGACTGTCCAACTCCAATTTTGAAATGATCACATGTGTGACTCGACTGAAGTTACCTGTCAATATAATTTTAAGTATGGGCTTTGCCTTTGAATAAATATGTGTTTAACCAGATGTAGAATTAGTTGCAAAGATAAAATAGAACACCACAAACATTTCTTTAGAACGCAAAACGAAGCACGAAAAGTGATAATTTCAGGAACACATGGAACAATAAAAGTACATGCACTTTCCTGTGCATGGACACGGATCCAAATGCACTCTTGGAATATGAATTAATGCCCTTCGTATCAATAACTTTTAGCCCAGTTCAGCAGAGCACCAGTTTATTGTATTGCAATTAGTGAGAATTACAACTAATGGGTTCCTTACTGAAAGTCTTATGCTCTAAATGCATGTGCGTGTATGGGAATTGGGTGAGTGCTGAGGGAGTCTCAGATTTAGATTTGATCATTTTGGACTTGTATTGAAAAGAAGGTGACATTTGCAAGGGTCAGAAGGTTTCAAAGAACCATTCAAATGATCACTTTGATTGCGCTTGTGTCACGATGTTGTCTATTGGATAATTTATCTCTGTTTAGCAATATTGGCAGACAGATGTCGAATTCTGGAGAATAGTTCCAGATTTGCCCCTGCAAACTTCTTTCATCAAATGGCAGGTTAGCATAGTCATAATTTTAAAGGAGACTTTCTTTTTTGTCATTTTTAAAGTTAGATAAAGTGGAAGAGAATCAAACCAAATACGGCAATACCTCTTACTTTTGACACCCCCTTCCCCCCAATCCCCACAAAGAGTATTGATCCAAAAGACATTCTAAAAGATTAACGAATTAACTAAATTGATTTTTAAAATATAAGAAATATGAAATATGACCCCCCCCCTTCCTCACACACACACACACACTCACAAATGCACGCATACACACACACACACACACACACACACACACACACACACACACACACACACACACATACACAAACACGACCAAATACGATATTAATCATCTTTGGCTCCGGTTTGTGCTTTGGCATAGACATGACCATGTGAAATATCCCAAACAAACATGACGGAAAGGAAATACAATCTGACCTTCTCTAACAGCCACCTGTCCAAGAGAACCACGTGTACAACCAGCTATTTTCCTCTTTTCCCCTTACGTTTTTTTTTCAATACTATAATGACAATGTCCAAAACGTTCACCTGTCTAAGATAACCATTTGTTTCCTCTCCAATAATGGGTGGCCGTCTTTACAAATTTAACAGTATCAGTTGAGTGTGGTTTCTCCTTGCGTTGATGCGATGGGAAAAACTGACCGCAGAAGTGCCTCGATCAGTGCTTATTCTTTCAGCCATGCTGACTTACTGTCACTGTGAAATACTATGCAGGAGTTCTCAATCATGAAACAATTAGTGTTTGCCATCATAGCAATGCGAGCTCTTGTTATCAGCTGGTGGGCGCACCCCCGAACGACGAACCTAATAATATTCTCAATTCTTTGATCTAAAGTCTTCGGAACGACTAACCTTTCATCTGCAATTCTCTGGTGATTCGATACCTGTATTGGAACTGTTTTTGTTGTCGTTATTGTTGTTGTTGTTGTTGTTGATGATGATGATGATGATGATGATGATGATGATGATGATGATGTTTGTTTTTTCATACTGAAGTTTCTTTTTATCTTTTATACCTGACGTGATTAGTCTATTGCATCTAAGTAAGATAGTGTGTGTTTATAGTCACATAGCAACGCCAAGAGTCGGAAACTTTAAATACTGCTCATATCGAGAACAAAATTAATATTTTAAAAAGTCGCCGTCCGTTGCGGTCGTTCGAGAGCGCGCCCCAGCTTGTACAGCCTGTTGCAAAAAACTTAAAATAACCCTCTGTGTATAATGGTGTGTAATCAGGAGGCCAATTCAGTGATAAAAGATAACGGTATCAGCAGGTGTCCATTCGTGACAAAGCTATCCCAGTGAGTAGTGAAGAGACAATCTCAGATTGCACTCTGTTGTTTATTGAAGCCACTGTTGATTAGCATGTAAGGCCCCCATACAATGCAGCATTGTTTGACTAGATCTAGCACTGAGGACTGTGAAAGAATGACAGTATCTTAAAAACCAGAAAGAGTCCTGGGAACAGAGACTGTGCTGAGCAAATACCTCGTCTTGATGGTTCAAATCATAGTTTCGATACGATACTCAATGTTGTTGTTGTTGTTGTTGTTGTTGTTGTTGTTGTTGTTGTTGTTGTTGTTGTTGTTGTTGTTGTTGTTGTTGTTGTTGTTGAGGAGGAGTTTTTGTTTTTGTTTTGTTTTAATTTTTATTTTATATTATTTTTTATTATTTTTTGGGGGGAGTCTTTTTCAACTTACAGATTGCATTTTAAAACAAATTTCCCTTACTATGAACAGTTTCTCAGGAAACCGTTTTATACATCTTTGACCAGCAACTCGGTGCAATACACCGATAGGCCTACATGTATTGTCAAGTAAAATTCCAATCCATGTTACATTAGAACAGTCAGATATTTCACTGTGGGGAAAAAACACAAACAAGCCTCAACAGCAGAATATTTTAGAGCTTGACAACCATTGAATACCATGTGTTGCGGGGGTGGGGGGGGGGGGCATAATAGTATTATGGATATTTTAGTGTGGAAAAAATATAATAAAATACTAATCGATGTTTCGTGGTCGCTGTTCCCTGGTAACGATAACGTCAAAGTCGCTCTTACCCGGCGTAGCGAAATAGCTTGGTCAACATAGGGCCGCAGACCTGAGTGTAGAGGATGTGTGAGTAATCAATGAACAAGTACTTAAAAGTGAGGTACTAGTTTGCCAATAGTATAGTTGTTTTTTTTTCACATTTTTTTCAGTAACTCGCGAAAGAAAACTCTCATCGCTATTACATATGACCTAAAAACGCTCGGAAGATGTTAGAGCGACAAACCTCTGGCGAGAGAATCGTGGGAAAGAGACCGCCCACGATTAGAGGTGAATATAAACTGTATGGTTTGATAAGTTTGGTGTTGGAACCAATGTGGTCGATTTTTTTTCATAATTAGGTAAAAACACGGGCAGTGGTCAAGAGAGAACATGCCTATCGAGGCTTGCAGCAGCTCTTGGGATCCCTGCCCACAGCGCTTATCTGACGTGGGGAAAGTGGCGTAAGGTGATCTTCAAATAACAAACACGTTCTATGACAATAAATGCATGTCTTCCAAAAGAGACCTTGAAAGTCCTGATCAAATTTCTTCAAGAGATTTTGGTTGGTGACTCCATGATCTTGGAATCCACAATGTCTTCTGTCAAAGCTTATCCTTATAATTCAAAGTTGTTTGTTTGTGTTACGACTTTATGTTCCCCAAAGTCTAACGTTGTCAACGAGCGATTCCTTTTTTTTTTTAAAGGTTTGCTTCTATGGAAATGTCAGATTCCATGGATCTCTGGCTATAAAGGAAGTACTGGTTTCATCCTTAGTTTGTTTTTGTTTTTTACTGTATATTATACTGTACTTTTGAAAAATTGAAACAATGGTTTGACCTAATATGTCTGATACTATTGGTATTAATTTTTGTTAATTATAGACTCATAAAATTGTGTTCGATGTGCTTAAGAAAGGAAGATTCGAATGTTATTAGTGAATGGGGTAGGCAAATTCACTTTTGGCCAAAAAAAGCAAAATTTTGTGAAACATCTGGACTGGTTTCTGACTCATAGAGTAAGGAAGTTGAAAAGAGGGGAGGGGGGGGCTTTTAGTAAACCTTGAACAATATTGTATTTTACAGAAGTTGAAAGCGTCAACATGCACGTTTTGTGAAAATGGACTTACAAACATAATATTCATTTAAGAGGTAACAGTTCTCAACAAATTTCGATTGTGCCCGGTCCTGCAGAGATATTATACTTTTCAGAAAGTCACTACGTGTAAACAGACAATCAGCGAGCTACATAATTTTCGTCGGTGAACAAGAGAAGTCCTGTCATGTGATATGCGATCTCATTATACAAAGTAGGAGTTCACGCGATGCTAATTCAAACTCACACTTAAGACCGGCAGATGTTCATTTCTGGCAGACGGTCGTTTTTTGACAGATAATCTTCTCTCTCTCTCTCCCCACCC